TAAAAATTTTGAATAAAAAAAAAGGGGTTTTTGGGGAATTTTCCGCCAAAAAAAAAAAAGGTGGGGTTTTTTTTTTTTTTTTTTTTTTTTTTTTTTTTTGCAAAGGAACCAATTAGATGCACATGACAAGCCAGTAACAAATAAACCACTGTCCAGCCCTTTATACAGTTTCTATAATTTAAAGTACTTTTATTTACATAACATATCAGGGAACATGCCAGAGTGAGTGCAGTATTGCAAGGAGAGAAGAAGCTCCATGTCCTGCCTCTACTTCCTGCTGCTTTGCACTGCTGGTCAGCTGACTGAAAAAAATGGTACGTATATTTTCCCTCTGATTACAAGAACGACAAATTTGTCTCTATGGTAACATTTCTTGTTGCAAACAATCTGGCACCACCCATCACTCTTATTAACCCTGTTTTAAAGTACCTACTGGCAAACTCTGAACGTAGGTTAGCAACCTGTGATTAGCAATATTTAAACAGCAAAATGGTAAAACAGTGCAATGTTGACAGCAATAAGAAATTTAGCTGGTTCAATGTTTGTTCTAAATTCCTGCTTAAGTCCATATCAAAATAAACATACTGTATATATAATACTTTTGCACATGTAATAATTAACTGCATTAATGTTATTTTGTGTTTCTACTAAAAGTAATGAATTATATTTTTACTGATAGTTATCCGACTATAAGAATTCTTCTTTTCAAACTAAGTATTATGAAATCAATTTATCGTATTATTGAGTTGTTGCTCTTGCCGAGTCGTTTATTCATTAACATTTTAGGTAAAGAAATCACGCAACTTGTTTGGTCAGATTTCGACCACACTTACTGTTAAATCTACAATGAAAAAAAAAAAAAAAGATTTTCGCTTCAAATTTTAAATTGAGACCAAAACTATATTTGACGTGGTGCTCAGACATCATGCAACAGGGCTGATCGGGAGCAGCTGGAGGAGAGCTCCAGCACAAAGGGGAAGGATAATTAAGTTTCACTCTCCTGTGGGAGGCAGAAAGTGGACTGCTGTACTGTTTGGATGAGTATATGCATGTACATGCCTTTTTTTTCCAAGTAATCTTCTCATGGGAGCTAGTTTGAATGCAAAGTGTTCCTGTAATAGGCAGCACGCTCACGCCGAAGCAACGACTGGAGACGAAACTGTTTAAATTCAAAACATGAAGAATATTTACCTCATCTGTGATTAACCCATCCATGTGAGCACAATAAAATCTAGGAAGGAGTATATTTGGAACCCAACATTTGTTCCGAGTTTGACAGAATCAAAAAAAACAAAATTATTTTCTACAGAAAATGAAAGTGGTAGTATTTAGTAAAATCTACTTTTTTCTTTTGTGATGTGTTTACTTCATCAAAAATCAAACTGCTTCTCAGTCGGTACTCCTAAGCATGGTTGTTAATAGCATGATGAGAAGCTTTGTTGCGATGACATTCTGAAGGTGGAGCACTAGAAAGACGCAGGAGCTTCTTAAAGGAACAGGGACCCAAATTCAAGGCATCAAATTACAAAGTCAAATTTCTTTAAAGTCATCTTTGTTACATACAACTGAAGGAAACATACTTGAATGTGCCTTAAAATGCTGGAAAATGTGTCGCTTAACTTCCCTTTGGGATCAATAAAGTAGTTTTGAATTTCAAATTTAAATTGAGGCAACCATTGTTTGTGCTACGTGAGCTCACTGATGTTTCCACATTCAACATATTATCTGGGAAACTAGAAAATCGAAGATGAAGCATCTGCATAGCAATGAAAACATGCCACGGCCTACCGCAAGCAGTGAAAACGTAATGGCACTGATGTCTTGTTTTAGAAGACATCGTGACGTTCGCTGCCAACAACCTACATGTGGGTTATTAAAGACACAGACTTCACACTGATTTTCAACAGTTAACGCCCTGGAGTTGGCAAGCCAATCGGCAGTGAAGTCATAGGCTTCACACACATGTACTGCAAGGATACACACACATGCCCATAGACTGGGCCCTCTGTTCTTGAGCAAGGGAGTGTGACAGCAGGAAACGAGCACTTAGCTGCCATGACCCTAGCATCAAAAGACTAAACTGTATGTTAATAAAGATATATATACAACCTTCTATTAGATCCTTATGCTGTTATTTCTGCTTTTGGAAGGTGTTGTCTTGTTTCACATGGCAACACAATGTACAGTGTGTAGAAAAAGCATTCATTCCTTGTGAATGTCTTGACAAAAAAATACAAGTTGAAATAGATGGATTGTTAAAATATTCCTTATACATGTATGAATGTGACCAAAAGCTTCTGTAGCTCATTTGCTGTGTGTCTGTTGGCTTATGATTTAGGTACTGCTTGCCTTTAAAAGCTACTGATTAAAAAAAAAAAAAAAAAAAAAAAAAAAAAAAAAATACTGCTAAGAAGTAGCGATCCCCTCGTGGAAACGTGTGTAGATCACAAGTGAAGCATAAAGCCTGAAACCTAACAAACGACTCATTTCCCCAGCTCCCACCTAAAAAAGAAAATATGTAGAAATAAAAAAAAAAGCAACGGTGTAAAACAGCACGTAATTACTAATATTAGAGTCTTTTAAAACCTTTCTGCACTGCTCATATGTCAACTTGTGAAAAAATATCAAGGTCTTCAGAGAGACGAGGCAGGAGGAAAAGCACTTTTACACAATAAGCAGCTGCATCTTGACAACTTGACAGGTCAATTACTGTATGTGGTGCATATGTCATGTCTGGAAGCTTTGGAAAACTCATCCAGCTGTGTGAATATTTCAATCATATGCTTGAAAATTATAATATAAAGAAGCAAGTTTATTCAGCTGAACTCTGGAGCTACACAGATTACACATTGCATCGCAAAGTAAGATTCATTTAGAAGTTTGCATTTATTTTTGTGTTCTGATTGTTTGGACTTTATGCGCCTTGCTAAGGTCCCACACAAGTATTAAAAATGTAAACTTAATATTTACAGAGGAGTTTGTTTCTCATTCTACGATATCAAACTAGTGTATGTTTAAAAATAGGAGACGGTAAAGCGAGCTCAAGACGCAAGCTGACAGACTGTCTGCAGTCATCTTAAGGTGTATGACAGTGTGTACGTCACCGGTGTAAGAGAGTGATGCGCACAGAGCGGCATATGGCGCACCACTCACTGTGAAACCCGCTGCGTGTGTTTACATCAGAATAGAAGCAGAAGTGAATCTGTCTGGTGTGTGGAGCAGTCTGTGGACTCCTACGTGTGCACAGTACACAGACTCAGAGATTCAGCAGAGATGTGAAAGATCAGTTTTTATTGCAGCATGACAAAATGCATTAAATTTGGTGCTGAATTAAGCTTTGTTAGATTCAGAGTGGATTGAGGTTTATAGTTATTTATTTTTTTTTTTTTTTCAAACTTTAAACTCTTATTTTCACACTTTGATTTTAGTAAAACTTTGCTTTCTTTGTCTTTGTCCAATAAAATGAACATGGGAGATTCTCGCTTTTACAAAATGTTTTCATAGCTAGTGGTGTGCTATGGTAGGTCAATCAGCATTACGTTGGTATATTAATGGGACATTTTGCTAAATGCCAGAATAATGATGGAGACATTTTTGAAAAGATTGTAAAAAAAAAAAAAAAAAAAAGTATCCACAGAACAGGTCTCAAAAATTGTGGAAACATGTTCCTATTTTCAGACCATAATCTATCTGTTGTTTTTGCAGCAATGGCTTCTTCCTTGCTTAGTCTATGTTCGTCTTTTGATAAGGACAAAGTCTCACCCAATTACGGTAAGCCAGCAATAAAAACACAACAGTCTTTTTTTCTGATGCTGAAAAAAAGCATAATAAAAAAGCATCTGGAAACTGTAACCGAGGATCAACCAGACTTGCAGAGGTCCACAATTCCCTCCTTAAAAGTCTTGCCTGATTTCCTTCAGTTTTTCCATTAGCTCACGCAAGAAATCGGTATAGTTGGTACATAAAATAACAAATCCTAGCTGTGATTTAGACGGTTAGGGCCAAACCTACCATTTTTGTTATTGGTACTAAAGTGAAAGGGGAGGTCTCTGTCAGATTTAAAGTGATGAATGAGACATACATGATCAATAACAAGTCCACATATGGGTAGACAGGAATCTGTATGGATACTCACATACACACAAAAACACAGCAGTCACCAAGCTCTTAACATTTAAGGGAAACATAATTTTAAGTAAAAGACATTGTGACCTTCACAATTGTGACCTTTTCTGTGCACAGCATCTTTCCTAGCTAGACTCCAACTTAGCCTAGAACACCACATTTCTAATAAAGTAAAAAAAACAGAACAATTAGTAAACAGAAAACTATTATGTTATGCTTTAAATAACACCTTTACTTCTGTTTGCTTTGAATATTTTCCTCTGCAGTAGTAACTGGACGCAAATGTTTTAGCAAACCGTGTTTGACGTAACAGCTTACCATGTCGTAGGCGTTTAGCACTTTGCGCAGAAGCTCAGGCACGAGACCCTGCGCTTCCATGGTGGGGTAGGTCTCGCTCAGGTCCACCATCACCTTCAGCGACCGCTCACTGTTCATCAGCCACGTAGAGACAGTCAGGATGCACTGCTTCATGTTGGCGGCGGGCGTCAGGCCACAAAGCTCCTTAAAGGACACCATGGCATTCTAGCAAAAAATAAATAAATAAATAAATAAATAAAATAAGCATGAATTTAAAAGTAAAGCAAATATTTAGCTATTGGCAAACAGAGAAAAAGAGCCTCTGTATTCAGTAATTGCAGTTTAATGAAACGTGTTTATTTTGTACAGCATCAGCAATTTCATCTTTGTTTAAGTTGATTTCTGTAAAGAAATCAACTTAATGTTAGATGTAACAAATGTTAAAATTAGAATTTAAAAAATACGCTTGAATGTAATTTATTAGTCATATTTTTAATTGGTTTTATTAACAAAAAGTAGATTAACCAGAATAGTTTTCTTTTTTCTGATTGTTTTTAATGATGTTTGCGACTGAAATTACATTTTGAACCAGAAAAAATGTATGGTGTGGTTTGAATTGTTATTATTACCATAAGGATATGGCATAACTTAGGCAATTTGAAAGCTGTTCTTGCGAGTCTAATAAAATGCAAGATAGTGAATACATTGTTTTATTTTGAGCAAGGAGGCATAATGAGACAAACTACACTGTTTTCTTATGTCAGAAGCAGAATGGTATTTGTCATATTTATCCATAAGCTAACGTCTCCATAATATTTTAGACAAAAGCTTTAATAGGAAAAAAGTTTGCTTTAGAGTTGCACACTGGATAAACTGAGACCCAGTTATTTCCAAATCTGTTTTATCATATTGACATTTTACTTAAAGGCTTGTCAGAAAAAGCTATTGTTTTTGAAGCAAAAACAATAGCTAAAAATTATCCAAAAAAATGGTTGAAAGCTTCATCAAGAAAAACATCCTTAGAGCCAGCGCTAAAGGAGACTGGCATTACATGCAAGGTCATAATCATAAAAGAAACTCAGAAAAACACCTGGTCACACACATAAAGATGCTAAATAAAACGAGCAAGTCACTTATTTCCGTCTTGCTGTCTCTGGTTCTTCATTGAGTAAATTGGCTGTAAATAT